TGGTGTAAACATTGTATAAAAAGATCTGTGGGGGGGGGGGGGTGTAGATGGTTCTAGGCAGACGAGGTTCCTTGGGTGAATCTGATCTTTCATTAAACCAACTGAAATAGCTGGAAAACATTTTTAGCAAGGTTTTGGGTTTAAAAACCCGTTGTCGGTGTGAGGAAGCCGCTGCAGTTGGTGTGCGCTCTTCTTTTCGTTCCATCCTTAGACCAACACAGCGACAACGTACACCCCTAGATACATCTCTGCACACCTGCCTGTGTATAAAAGTGCGTGTGCAATTATGTGTGTGTATTAAAAGGTGTGCGCCATTACCTTTTGGTATAAAAGGTGTGTGTAGATGGAGCTGTGCACGTGTGTGTGTGTGTGTGTGTGTGTGTGTGTAAAAATATGTGTACAATTATGTATGTGTGTATTGATCTATGCACGCATCTGAGTGTGTGTATAAAATGTATGTGCAAGTATGTGTGTGTGTGTGTATAAATGTGTACATAAATATAAATGTTTGTAAGCGTGTGTGTGTGTATTTGGAAGCGGGGTGGGGGGACAGTGCCCCTGCCTGTGCAGCCTGGCTATGCCAGTGGGGCTGGGGCATACTGAAGACCAGCCTTTGGGGTGGATGTGGGGGCCAAGGCCTCTGTGTGGGCCAGAACCCCCCAATTCTGCATGTGACTGGTTGCCCCAACCCTCTCCCCCCCACTGCCCTGCTGGGACCTGCTCCGCCCTGGGCATGCTCCTGCCTGCCTGCAAGTTGGGCACAGTGCAGCACAGCACAGGGCCCCCCTCAGCTGTGCCTACCCTGGCTCTGCAGCTCTTGTGCCCTGGGGAGTGGGCTCAGGAGCTGCGTCTCCCCGGCCCCCCCAGAGGAGAAAGCAGGCAGACACATGCTCCGGCACATCCAGACTTTATTGGGTGGCAGCACAATAAATAGCTGGGGGGGCGGGGAGAGAGCATAAATAACAATAATAATATGAATAATTATTAATAATAATTAAGGGCTTTACATATGAGCATCAGGCTCACAGCAGAAGGCTTACACACACATGCACAGCAGCAAGGGCTGGAATAAACAGCCAGGCTGAGGACCGAGGCAGGACCCAGCGCCAGCCTCTTGCTGCCATGGGCCTGGGCAGCCTGGCTGGATCCGACATAAATAACTCATAAATAACACAGGCAAATAAATACATGGGGCCTGGGCAGTGCTGTCGTGCATCCCTGTGCACCTGGAACTGCCTCAAGACCCCGGGTTTTCCTGCAGGGAATGGGGTAAAAACAGGACAGCGCCATGCACAAGCCCCTGAATGCACCCCGGGCTCCGCTGAGCAGTCTTCCTGACTGGATGCATGAGGATGGCGCCTTGCTGTGGCCACCCTGACGCCTGGATGCCAGGCTCTCCATGCACCAGGGAGGTGGGGGTCACGCTGTGTGCGGGCAGGCGGGGGGATCTGGATCCATAGGGCCTACGGCGGGCATAAACACGTGCCTTAGAACAAGCACATACTGGCCACGTGACACAGTCACGCTACGGGGGGCTATGGGTGGCCGGCGGGCGGGTGACTCCATGGGAGCGCGGCGGCCCTCCCGCCCCACGGGCAGCTCAGTGAGCAGTGCGGGGCAGGACACAGGTGCAGCCGACGGGCACGCGGATGTAGTCCACGTCGAAGGCGAAGGTGGCGGGGGCGCCGCGGGGACAGGGCTTGCGGCGCAGCACCATCATGGTCTGGTGGATGAGCACTGAGTTGAGTGCCGTTGTCTCTCGCCCAGTCTTGGTGTCGATGCAGCCGTCGCACAGGCACTCGGCGAAGGCCAGCTTGGGCGGGTACCGGTTCTCGTCCTCGTCGATGCTGTGGGGAGGGAGGCACGTGGGTCAGGCCAGGGTCTAGGGGCAAAGCACCCCGGGGCCCGGCTGGCAGCGCAAAGGGGTGCTAGCCTACTCCCACCAAGCCCACCCATGGGAGAGCAGCGCTCATCCACATTGCAGGCTCCCTGCTTTGGTACTGCCTCTCTGCATGACCTCAGGCATGTCACTTAGCAGCCAGCGCGCCACTTCAAGGAGCCTCGCTATGGCAATAGGGTTGTGGGGTGGGGGGAGGCCATTTTCCTCTTCTCACATGCCAGAGGAAATGGAGCCAACGCAGAGCAGGGCAGAAGCCCATTCCCAGGTGGGGAAACTGAGGCAGGCCCCAAGACTTGAGGGCATACACAGTGGACCTCCCTCTTTCCCCCTGCCAGCACCTACCGGTATCGCCAGGGTGAGATGGAGCGCTCGTTGGCTTCACTGTGAGCGCCCGCTGCGAGCTGCAGTGCGGGGCAGCTGGGCTCGGGGTGCCGGCGGTGGCGGTGTCTCCGGTCCCGCTGCGCCTGCTCCAGGTAGGGCACCATCTGCACGGGGGCGTAGCGGTCCCAGTGCACAGCGCGGCTCACGTAGTGCATGGGCACCTCCCCGGCCTGCAGCTGCTCCTGGCTGAAGCAGGGCACGTGGTGATGGTGGTGGGCCTGGCTGTCCCTCGGGACCTTACGGGCCTGGCAGGCCATCAGCAGGAGCAGGATGACGCCGCACAGCAGGGCCTGCGGGGAAGAGGACGTGTGAGACCATGGTCAGCCCCATGACTGGAAACCCCGCTGGGTGTCAGCACCACCACCCTGCCCCTCTGCCTCCCCTGCGGCGCTTGTACACGCAGGTATGCGGCACATCCCCAACTGCCATGGACATGAGCGCAGGTGTGACAGCCTGCATACACCCAATAGGAGCCACACACTCAAAGCCACCAACACGCACACGTGCAGGGGAACCCGCACCTCCTTGCCCCCGGACGCGCTACATGGGCAGCACAGTACAGAGAGGTTCACATGCCCGTACATGGGACACAGATGTGCATACGTACACTGCATGTCCACATGGCCATGCATATAGCCTGGTGGTTGTCCTAGCGCAGTCGTTCAGATGTCCCTGCCTGCGTGTGCACGCACGCACACACATACGCACAAATATCCCCCCATGAGAAAGTGGGATAGGGCTCCTCCCTGACCCCTTACAGTGCAGACACATCAGAGGAGCACAACCAGCCATGTCCACACCCTCATACTAAATAACCAGCTAAATTGCCATTAAACGGTTCCCTTTTTTTTGGAGAGGATTGAGGTGTCTTATACACCAGAAAATATGGTAATGCTGCCTGT